GCCACATAAAATAAATTCCTTGATTCTCATCACTGCCCGACTGTATTTTATAAAGAGCCACGTGCATGAATGTTTTTGTTATACAATATAAATGTACCGCGCGACAAAATAGTTCAAGACAGTTAAGTTTTATATTTTATATTGGGTTTTTAGTGCCATTTTAAACTGCCAATTTCAAAGAAATAAAACCTTGAAAGAAATTTCATTGCATTTTAACTTCGCATTCAGTTCAAGGGTTCAGTCATTGTTCGTGGAGAAATATGTTTATTTCGGTTTGTGACACTTCACTTCGGAAATCACAGAAATATTAAATGTTAGAAATTACTTTTTTATTTATTGATATATAAATTATATAAATATAAAATATAAACCTCCCGCCTCTTCGACATTTTCAAAGTGTAGTGATGAGAATCAAGGAATTTATTTAATGTGGCCATATTTAAATTTTAAGGAATTTGCATAAGCATATCGAAAATATAAACGTACTCAAACGTATACCAACAGGTTCCAACAGGTGGGAAAATTGTCGTCGCTGACCGAATTTATCGCGGACGCTTTCTTTTTGCCAGCAAAAATTGTGAAAACAACAAAAACACAGATTTCGCTACCCTGTTTCTCGTACTGCCAGAGAGGAAAAGTAAAAGAAAGCTAGCAGACTTAAACTTTAATAAACGTTAATCAAGACCACAATTATACTTGTCGCAATCGGGAAATTAGCAGTCAAGAATTCTTCGCTGGAACATGGCCGAAAATGACGTTTCTTGCAAAATGTGTGTTTTTGATGACAAATACCTCAAGCACTAACTTAATATTGATGGAATATTACTTAAAATTTGCAGTACATGCGTTTGTTGTCTAGGACAAAGTATAAATATTTGGTTTTTGAGTGATACTGTGCGCCAACGATCATCGTCAAATTTCAGTATGTGAGGTATTTTGCTAAAATTGCTTGTTTTTCACCTTAATTTTCTCATATATACAGGTTGTGCCAATGAAATGTGATTAACAAGTTCTTTGTTCTCTGGTTTTTTTTAAACTATTATATGAAATGTGATTAGGTCAGAAGATGTGCTTTTTTTCTAGTTTTTGCTAATAGAATGTTAACTCGGCTAAAAAATGAAGAAAGTACTGAATTTTGGCAAATTTCACGTGCAAGTGACAAAGTGTGATTTATACATGTATTTTGCTATAATAGTTTTAAAATATTATTTTTAGGTTTTCAAAGTATTTAAAAACAGATAAACATAGCAATCAGATTTTTCTATGACTCTCATTTCGAAGCGTAAACTTTGTATTATTTTTAAACACAATTTTCGCTCGTTCAAAATTCTATAAACACAAATTTTGTCATGTTACATGCAGGTTGTGCCAACAAAATATCGCTGTTTTACATTAAATTTCAAAGCATTTTTAAGTCGGTACTAAATTTCTTGGCTTTGTAAAAAATGAAGAAGTTTTAGTATTTTTGGTTTGAATTTCACATTTTATTACCCTGCTGGCTGGCAGTGGTTTCTGAGCTGAGGAGAAACCACTGCGAGCAAACGAACTGATCGTTTCATGTAGCCGCCGTCCAGATTCACGGACGAAACATTAAATTCTCAACCGGTAAAAACAAGTTTGAAAAAACACCACGCTGTAAATATAGTAACACGCGCTATAAATATACTACAAAATATTATAACTTTACAAAATATTGAATAAAATGTGAGAAATTATACATTAAGATGACTTGAAAACCGCATAGCGTTCAACAGAATAACTATAAATTCCATACTGCAACAAAAATCAACCTTTGGGCTTTACAGAAATAGTAGCGCCGTCGCGACGATCTTTGATGGGTTTAAATTTGTGGCGGTTGAGGTCGCGACAATCAAAATTGCAATAATTGTCAAAATCAACACTACAGTAATTGGAAACATTATATTATTTGGAAACTTTGGGAATTGGAATTCATCGAAAACCTTAACACAATATCTAACGTCAAGACGTTTAAGTAACACAAATAAAGTTCAAAAACCGAATTAAAAAAATTGATACTGTCGGATAAATACAAAAATTTTAAAAGATATAACAGAAATTCAAGTGCACAATTTGTACTTAGCTGCAGGGTGAAGCACCGATTTCAAAATATTTTAGTACTGGCAATAACGAGATTGAAACCGATACATAAATTGTGAACTGCGTGTAGAATTAAAAAGTCGTTCGATTAAAACTGACAGACAACAAATAAAACCACAGATAAAACAGTACTATGCCACGCTTGTTCACAGATAACGGACTACAGGAAATGAAGTCAAATTAGTGACTTCCCATCACGTGATCTTCGCGCATGCTCGATAGAAGGTCGTTCGTTTGCTCGTAGTGGTTTCTCCTCAGCTCAGAAACCACTGCCAGCAGGGTAACATTTTATTGAAGCTTCAGACGACATTTTAAAAGGAAACTGTTTGCTCTGTTTTCTTTTGCACTGAAATAATCGATATTAATAGTTTACATTGTAAAATATGTGGCAATAAAGGAAATTAAAGTATTACTGCAACATTTTTTGTCAGTGAATGCAATTTATGTGGTGATTTGTGGGCTAATTAAACAGCCGCTGCAAAATTGTCTTTCGAAGTCTTCCTTCACGTTGTTTATGTTTTTTTTAAAACAACCAAGTGGAAGCACGCATATCCTCTTCTCCGCTGAAGACCCGAGCAGTTTTCGCGCATGTTCAGTCAATTTTCCCACCTGTTACGTATACCCCCTTCAACCATGACTATAAACAAGACCAGAAAAGCAATTGTCCGCAGATATTTAGAAGTTTCGCAAGAGTTATAGACGTCTTGTTTTAAACTCATATAATTTGACTAAATTGTCGATGACGGCTACAATACATGGTGCGTTTTAAGCGTTCTATCTTCAGTTCAAGCAACATCAAACATCTCTTCTCTTATGTATATTTTTCAAGATATTGATTCAACAGTGATTTAAACAGAAAATGGCGTCATACGATACTGGCTATGAAGATGAACTATTTCAACATCCCGTTGGCCATACATTGCATTGTGGTATATGTATGAATGTTTTAAAAAATCCAGTTACGTGTCGACATAATGAGCATCTGTTTTGTCGAGCTTGTATCACCATACATCTCATGAACTTTCAAACATGTCCATCGTGTATGGAACCACTCACTGTCGAATCACTGCGCCAAGCACCTCGGGCCGTAACGAACTTACTGTCTGAATTGAAGATCCGTTGTCAATTCTTCGATCGTGGTTGCGGACAGTTTGTTGAATTAGGAGATCTCAAAAGGCACGTTGCAGACTGTGGGTTTGCCCCAGCAGTCTGCTCTAACGAAGGGTGCCAAGTTGAAGTGAATAAACATGATTTACTACACCATGAAACAGCTGTGTGTGAACTACGCAGAGTCAAGTGCCACAGTTGCAACGAAATCAAACAAGAGATGGATACAGTGAAATTTAATTTGGCAGCAATGAATGAAAAGTTGAAAGAAGTTGGGAAAAAGATGGACAGAAATCAGGAAAACGTGAATAGCTGTGTGGAGAAAGCCAACGTAGAGGTCGGAAACATCGTCGCAGAGGTTGGAAACGTCGTTACAAATGTGGTTGTAAAAGTTGAACTGGTTCAAGAACAACTAAACAAGCAGGAAGAATGTAATCGTCGGCTTGAGGCGGACAATGTCGAAATAAAGAGAAGTTTAAATGAAATTACGAAACAACTGGAAAGAATGACTCGACAAACATCGCGCAAGGTTCAGGCGGAAGAAATGAAGAAAGGGATTGCAGAGGGGGAAGTGGACAGAGAGCCGAAGGTTGTTGTTGCTGGAGGCTGGAATGGAAGTAGAGATTTAAATTCAGTGGAAATGTTCAGTCTCTTAAATGGAACCTGGACGGTTGATAGTGATTGGAGGTCTTGATAGTACTAATAAACATGCTTTATCTGATAGTATTACTGAGATTTCCTTTCTTCCACCTTATACCAGTAAACTGTTGGCTACCATGCAACAGGCCAGATTTTCTCATGGTGTTTCAATCTTTGGTGACAAGACACTGATTCTTGGTGGTAGGGTAGATTGGTTTTCTACTACAAATCTTGCAAGTGTTTTGTTGTATGATATTACTAAGAATGAATGTAAGGAATTAGCAGCCCTTCCCTATCCCGTGTCTGGAATGGCCACAGTCAAGTGGGGTGATGACAGTGTGATCATAGTCGGAGGTGCTGATAGTGACGGTCAACCATTAAACAAAGTTTTATTGTACAACATCAAGACCCAGAAGAGTCATATGTTGCCAGACATGGAGAGTAAGAGGAGAGGATGTGTAGCTGCAGTTGTCAGAGACACTGTGATTGTCATGGGAGGCAGAAATAAAAGAGGAAAGTGCTTGATGTCTGTAGAATGTTTTCGATTTGATCGCTATAGCTGGCAAGAACTTCCAGAAATGCATACAGCAAAATACTTGGCTACTGCAGTTGTATGTTAATTATCTATTGTATATATTAGCAACCTAATGGTGTTGTTGCATTATTTCTACACACTTTTGAACGTGGGATATTAAAATAGTTTTGTAGATATAGATTTTTCTGTGTTGGTGTAATGTGATGCTTGCGATGTTACTCTGAGTGTATATCCACATATAATAAATAGTTTTACCAACAATAAATATGTAATTGGATTCAAGTCTGTTCCATAGACCATTGGCCTGGTTAGAGAAACAGAAATAATGTGTAAGTAACACAATATATAATTTGAAAATTCGAGAGAAAATTATGTATACATGCAGGTGTATGTACCACAGAATATCACAGTACCACAGAATACCAGTTTTTTATTTCTCTTATGAAATTTGAAGGAAACATGCTATACAGTATACTTTATTTTTGTGAACATACATTAGTTTTAGTCTAAATGGTCATATAAAAACGAAAAATGGATATTTTCATAAAATTCTTAAAAATAATCGGGATAAACAACAAATAAAACCCCTTATTTTTGGTACTTTTTTTCCGCCTAATGTCCATAAAATCAGAAAGTTTGAAAATAAGTTTGCAAACAAACATGATTTACATTCATCAACAGTTTTTCTAAGCGATACAACATTTTTACTATTCAGGAATCTCACTGAGTAATCAAATTTACTATAAAAAACTCAATTTTTGAAAATTATTGGTAAACCTAATATAATGTGGTACATACCACCAGCATTCTGTAGTGATTTTAGTATTTACCTTCCACTAAATTAAGTTAGCAATATCTGTAAAGCGTTATCACACAACACGACACACCAAACCCTCGTACAATTTGATAAACCGTTCCTTACTTAATGCGCACTGGTATTCTGTAGTACATTAGGATTTTAGAAACAGAATCGGCCAAATCTAACCCCAAGACCCCACTAAAAAATCTTTAACAGGCTATGTTATATACATTTAACAAAAAAATATGGAACATGTAAATTTGTGTGGTATTCTGTGGTACATACACCTGTAGTATTACATCTTTAGACCTGAGGCTGGAATCGTAACTGCAGTCCTGTATACAGCTCAGTTGGTTAGAGCGTTGCACCAGAATCACAGGGCCGCATGTTGGATTCCTAGTTCCTACCAGCAATAAGGCCTATAATTGCATTTTTCCCAAACTTCTCCTTGCTATATCTAAGATGCATGCATAATTTCGACTTGAAATTTCCATCTTGGAAAGATCTTCAGCATTTAGTTCTATCGAATGAGATGCCCAAAATCATGATATTTAACAAAATATATGAAGGTTAGGGTTAGGGAAACAAGCTTTCGTTTATAGGGATGCAACTACCTGAAAATATATACAGGAGAATTTCGATATTTCGAGCGAAGGCCCTTCGTCTGGAGTTAGTGAGCAGTATTAGGGACTGTTCATTATTTATACCCTAGGGTGTGGTGGGAGATTCTTATGTCATATACAAAAATCTCATAGCCCTCCCCCCCCCTTTTATAATCTCAATGTTGAAGACCCCCTATAAAATACTGAAAAAACTCCCCCAAAAAAAAAACAACTACTAAATAGCCAGTGGACAAAGTGGTCATTAATTGGTTACCAGTGGACAAACTACAATTTGTTAAATTGGTTACCAGTGGACAAACTACAATTTGTTAAATTGGTTACCAGTGGACAAACTACTATACTTTAGAGACGCGGTTCTGACATACAAATGTATAAATAACCTTGCTCCTGATTACCTGTGCAATAAGTTTAGAAAAAGGTCATCAATACATAAACGTCAGACTTGCACACAGGACTCTCTGCAAATCCTGGTAAAATCCTCATCATCGTAACCTGACGAATTGCAGTATATCTATACATCAGATGGAACAAACCTTCTGGAAACTGATAACCAAACTTTGTACATACGACTAACTTGCAGCAAAAGACGACATCGTAGATTTATATTCATTTTTAATATTCGTGTGTTTCATTAAGCGTTATACCGGGGCAGCATTTGACGCTGGTGATTGACCACCATCTGCTTCACGAGTTGCTTATTGAAAACACACGAAGCTTGTAAATATAAAATTAGAGGGTAGAAAAATTTTAAATATATTTACATTTAAAGGTTAATTGTGTTTCATGCTCAAGTATTGCTTTGGCCAAAAATAAATATATGTTTAAAGGTCTATTTACACTTGCAATTTTTGCTGCGATTTTAGGTGCGATTTTCGTCTTCTGATGGATGTGAACGAGTGGATGAGTATGAATGTTCCGAGTATATGTACCTTCATCTCAACATTCATAATTCTTCCGCTGATTCACATCCATCAAAAGAAGAAAATCGCAGCAAAATGCAACTGTAAACAGGCCTTAAAAACCATCGTTCAACAGGCTGAACTGTGCCTTTAATAATGCTTCTATCAGTGAGTGCTATTTTTGTTTTCAATTTTAAACCTAAAAAAATTAACTATCTTCTATAAATGTTTTACTTATATATATAAAAAATATTAACTATCTGTACGTATCTTTTTATTTGGCGCACTCCCTTCCGTTTTGTCGTTTCGTTTGCGTTTCTCGTATTCTTCAGGTATATCTATCAACATGTATTAGAGATAAAAATAATTCAAGTTCTTCGCTAAACCAATTTTATTTATGCTGGATAGCTCGTTCAGTTCTAAACTGTTCTCCATAGAGGTACAGTTAAGGGTCTTATTACTTCAATGTTACTACAGGAGGAAACCCGAACTAAACTAAAGCCCCAGTCAAACCAGGATAAGAGTTGAGATATAGGAGTTTGCATGAGAGTTTTCTCAACTCTCATGCCCTGGTCAAACGAGAACAAAACTTGCATGAAAGTTGACTGGATTTTACCGCGCGGGTAGCGAAAATCAAATGTTGTACCAGCTCAATGTTGATGAGAGTCCATAAGAGTTGGCGGTCAAATACGAGCGAGAGTTGCAACTCTTATCCTAACTTGACTGGGGTGTATATGTACTGTACCTCTATGCATAGACGGATTTTCATATTTTTTACTGGGGTGGTGCCAGAAAGTTTAGGGGGGTGAGCCGTGAGCAGGTGACTGAAGCAGCACAAAGTGTCAACAAACCCCAGTATAAGGTCTATATTCTAGGGGTCCAGCACTAGAGCCGCGAGGGGACACTAGAGAGCAGAATACAAAGTATCCCAGGAAAAATTTGAAAAAATCATGATTTCTAGCTTCGAAAAAACGTTTTTTGAAGTTGTCAATTTGTCATATCAATTAATGGATTTGCATGTCTGATTGTCTGTTGAGACTTGACAGAGTTAAAGACTTAAAGTTAAATGAACCTGTAAAAGTGTAAACCCAATAGGCCAATAGACAATACGCTTTTACTTTTATAAAGTCATTGACATTGTGTTGTTTGAATCCGACTACAATTTATGATGCAACTCCAATGTAAATAATATTTGGGGCGTAAAAATTAAATCTAGGCCAGTTTATTTCATAAAAGAATTAAAAACTAAAAATAATGTTCGTAAAAATTCCAAATGTTCCTTGCGTGCAAGCTATTCGCATGACAAGGCACTGTAAACTCTATTCAGGGGAGATATAATAGAGTTTCAAAACTTTACAACTTTACTTTACTTTGTCTTTTTCTGTTCGAGTGTACTCCTACGTTTATTTTGTATCATCAACACTCTGCACGTTGGAATGGACTATTTAATTATTTATTTATTATGCCGAATATTGGGGGGGGGTTGAAAATTTTTTTGGAGGGGTGGACATTTTGTTTGGGGGGTTATAGCTAATATTGGGGGGGTAGCACCCCCCTGCACACCCCCCCCCCCTTTATGTAATATTTC